CTTTTATCAAAATTTAATTGTCTTATCATCACTTCCAGATATCATAACATCTTCATTATTGTTTATTATTAAATAATTAATAAAATTAGAATGATTATTTAATTTTTATTAGCATGCCCATTAACTATTTTCATTCATTGACCATATTATAATCTATCCATTCCCACTCCCAGATATAAATTGATTCTATTTCTAAATAAAATTTAAAGTTGTAACATCACTTGGATGATAGCTTAAACGTTGAGTTTTTTTCAATTTTTCTAATTTGAATTCAAATACTTTAATTATCTTATTACATCCAACTAATACAATTGAATTATCTTTATTAATAGCTATTGCTCTACAATATTCAATTTATCTAATTGATTTATCCTTTAATAAAAATAAGTGAATGGCATTAAATTGAATTATTGAGGATTGTTGATTATTATAGGTTATTCTATTTTCTATTGTTGTATTTGTTAAGGTTGAGTTTATTTAATTTAATTATGAATAGTTAAATTGATTAGAGGTTTGATTTCCTGAATCACTTAATTAGCTAATGTTAGTATTAATGGTTAAGATATTTAAATAACAGGTAGTACAAAGTTAACATTATTCTAAGGAACAGGTGGATAAGGAGGAGGAGGAATTTAATCAAGAAAAGCTTCAATTCTGTTGAAAGAGGACTAATCATAATTTATAATAACTTACATCTAATTATTGTTAAACCCCTTAAAGACGTTCTTATATTTTATTTTCCAATTAGCTAACAATTTATTCACTATTCATTTATTTATTATTATTAAGATATTTTATTAATGTATTTCTATTAAAATTAATTAACAATATAAAGTATTAGTTTGCAATATTATTAATAGTTATTTTAAAAAATTTCTGTCTTACATAAATGAGGTACTTAAAATTACAGTATTTGGTGATTATTGTTTAGAGTGGATACAATTTTGTTTATTCATTTAATATTTTTATCATTACGATAAAATAATTTCGATTATCTAGCAAGTTTGAGCTAAACTTCAAACTAAATTTTTGTCAAGATTTAAGATTTCATGAATTTCTTGGGTAAACTAATTACTAAAACTACTTAGAGTTTTAAAATATATACATATAATGCTATGCTATAATTTTAAGAGAAATCTAATGTAAATTAGATTTAAACCTAATAGTTAAGATAAAAGTATAATAGCAATATTTAAATTCATTTTATCATCAAAATTAATCTCAAATAATACAAAAATACCAAATATACTTTCAGTTGTTGTTGAAAAAATTCAATTTGAGGAAAATCTAATGTTTCCAACTACTATTAAGTTTATGATCAAATTAATATTCTTCTTTGTATTAAATATTATTGGGTGATTCTTTTCTTTTGAATTATGTCAAATATAATTATATTTGACCCCATAAAATTACTTTTTTTAGATTTTAGTCTAATTTGAGATATATAAATTATTTTGAAAATAATAGAAGATCAAGCTTTTATCATGATATTAAAATAATAATATAATTTAAAAAGTAAAATGATTGTTTTGCTACATCAACAATAATAATAATTGAAATAATATAAATAGAGAAATTATAATTAATAGTATAAATAGAGTTATTCAATTCAAAAAAAAAAAATTAATTAAACCAAAGCTAGAATTTCAATAGTTAAAACAATACAGAATTGGTTAATACTATAAATTAATTTTAACTTTAATTAAAGTAACGTGATTTAATATCATTAAATTGGAGTAAAGAAGATAAAGAAATATAGATTATTGGATATTGATAATTCACAAAGTATTAATCTTACTCTAAATTTCCTTTCTAAAATAAGTCCATCTTATTAAATGTGATGGTAGTGAAATATTCATAAGTTTGAGTTTAATTTACAATTAACACATAATTGATCAGTTAATTCTTAGTTATAGTGCTACGTTGATACAAAATCATAATAATAGAGATATATTTAAAATCTTATATTGTTAGTTAAAGGTTACTTGCTAATGAAAGATTACAGGAAATATTATTGAATCAACTATTGTATATCAAATTAGTTGTTTCTTTTAGACAATCAAATAAATAGAATGAAACCCTTTTCTTAGAATTGATTTAAAGGTAATTAGCACACTATGAGAAACTTGTTTGTAAAATTCAATGTAAAACAACATGATTTGAAATTTAAAGGATTGAACAAGAAGAGGGATATTATATTATGCCTTTCCTAAATAAAGAATCAACTATTTAATATAAAAAATAATATGAATATATATTAATAATATAAATTATTCGAAAAACAAATTTCGAATAAGTCTCTATGATACATAAATAAATGTTCAGCATTCAAGAAGATTAACTCATCCAGCTATCTAAGAGTTTATAATCATGCTTTTAGAAATTTTAAACATTCAGTCAGTCTACCAACATCAAGAATATCTCTAGTAGAATTGAAATCCATAATCGTAATTATAATCAAGTTTTAAATTAATTAAAAATAAATATCTAGTTTCTTAGACTCTTATAAAACCTTATTGATTATTTAGTTAAAACCAAAAATCCTCATTCTAAAAATACAAATTTTTATTGGTACTTCAATTTCTATTTTGATTCCTGCCTTAAAATCAGAAGCCTCCCAAATGTGAATTATGATTTTTTTTTAATTCTTTCTACCTCTGTTAATTATATGCGTCCAAATGAATTAAATTGATATTTACCATTCATTATTAGTAGGTTATTGAGAAATTGTTTTGACAAGGTCCCAATATTGATAAGGGTTTCTAGTTGAAATTATATTTTTCAATTATTTTTATTTAATTGAATAACATTGTTTTCCCTATTGAGGAATATATATTTTCTTGCTCCACTATTTTATTTGATCAACCTCAAATGGAAAATCCCTCCTTTATTTTCGTTATTATTTCAAATTTTTCAATGAAATTTAAGAATCTATGCTATAAGTTCTTATTTCAAAATAATTAACTTATGTAAAATTATAAATAATGTATCCTAATCCATTTGTCTAATCCATTCATTAAAATATTAATCAAAAAGAACAAAAACAATCAAGATTTTTTAATTGTTAATGATTTAATTGTCAGTATCTAGTACTTATTTCTCAATTTGAATTAGAATCGATATTTTGAATTTATTTATTTAGGTTCTCTTAAATAAATTAACTTTCTTTTGAGCTTATTAGAAGATCTTTTCGAGGCAGTAGGCAAGTTTTTTCTTGAACTAATTAAGGATATCCTTCAAATTCCCCTTTTTTTTGTTAGACTCAAATGAAAAATGAGTAATGTAATTCTATCTCTCATAATTATTTTACATAATAGGGATGAAGACACTTATATTAAATTTATCTTTGACTTTCAATATAACTTTAATTTGGTAAATAATATATTCAACAGGTGAATATTGAGAAAGATGGAATTATGATAACTACATTAAAAAGAATTTTTATCATAAGATTTTTAAAGAAGCAATACCAAATATTAATATATTGTTTAAAAGAGATTTCATAATTATATAAATTGCAATTTTACAATCATTTGTAATAAAAGTTAATTCTACTTACAAAAAAAGGATGTATTATATTGATGTTACAAAGAATAATAAAAGATTATGCAATCTTTGATTAATTTGATGGGAGATTTTGACAAAATTAAATTATCAAGAATAAATTATATAACCTATACCCAAAAACATTCAAAAATCTAATATAAAGACAAAATTATTTGTTAAATAAAATAAAAAGAAAGGCATATTTGCAATATAAAATTTAGATGAAATTTTCATCTCATCTCATTCGATTTTCAATACAAGGACCTCAAATTCTGATAATTCGATGATTAATGTTCAGCAATCAAATAAATCTTTAATGTTGTGATCAAACTTAATTTCTTCAAAAATAAACAAGAAGTCAATTCTAAAAATCCTGGCTAAATTTAGACAAATATAACAGAATTATTAAATGAATTTAATGCAATTAGATGAAATGCTATCAGTTGTTAAATTCAATTATATTAAACATTTAATAAGATATCTCAATCCAAAGAAAGAACCAATCAAACAATTATAGTTTTGCATTTAGAAAAGGAATGATCTAAATCATCATTTAAAATAACTAGTATTTAAGTCGAAAACATCGCATTTTCTATAATTGTAATTCGGCTATAATCATAAGGGTAATTAATAAAATGATATTACCTAATCTGACTTTATAATTCAAATGTATAAACTTAGACAAATAATATCTATCAAAGAAATAAGCAAGTTAGTTATTTTTGATGTCGCATGAGGTTAAATTTTAATACCAAAAAAATTATACATGTAAAGTCTCCGGTCTTTGATTAGATTCCAAGTTAATTTAAGTTAAACGAATGGGATTTTTCTATATTAAAACTGTAAATGCCTTATTGGGTTGAACATGAAGAAGTTATCTTACACTATTTAATGAGAATCTTGTTTCAAAACTTCTCATCATCGATTACCCATTTAGATAAAGCCACCATGGAGTAATGAGAGATTTTCTAATCGCATACTCTGAATTCTAAAGGTAAAATCTGGATTCATATTTAAAAAAGCTAGTGCAATCTCACTTTATTGTATTTAAAGATTTTGGAAGTCAGTTAATTCCTATTACAATTACAAAGTTTTCATATCATTTTTTGATAAGATTTATTGAATTTATTATAATATATTTGCAAAAGAAAAGAGTTTAGGATGACCAAAATGAAATCTATATTAAACTCTTACAGTATTAATTTTCCAAGGGCTAATATAATTTAGTATTATTTCTAGCATGAATAATTTTTATCAATGTCTAGTTTTATGGTAAGCCTTTTCTAATTAATTAACTCTATATTTTTCTTAGATACTAAAAGGGAAAGTAATATTCTTTTTTGCTAATTTTGTTTACAATCTCCTTATGAATGTTATAATTTATATTGATTAAGTAACAGGATCGAGAACTATTATCCTTATAAGCATAGGGAAATTTATGAAACTCTAGCTTAATGATATTCCCATTAATATGAGAAAAATAGAACTATATTATACAATAGAAAATTTCAAAGAGATAATTTGGTTTCAATATATTTTATTTGAATTATCAATGATTAATCAAAAATCTTATTTGTCGTGTGTTTTGAATCTATTTTGATAAAAATTGAAGTAACAGAACGATATTTAATTAAATAATGTAAGACTATCATATTGCTATTTGATTGAGGCCAATATAATGAGCACTTAGAATTATTTTTCAATCATTTTTAATGTATCAATTTTCAATCTACTATTTCATTAAGGATTATTTTTTCAGATAAATTTTGAAATATTAAAATTGTATTTGATTTGACTAAAATTCTAAACAGATTGAAAAAATTTTGAACTATTCATATAGTATAAAATATAAATGTCATAGGTTGAATAATTAATA